TTATGAGTTGGATCCGATTTGATGGCACATAACAACACCACCACCAACAACAGAAGAATTGATGGATTTGAGTTATGCTGTTGGCAAAGACTGAATATTATGGACTGCTAGAAGAATGAATAAATCTGTCTTGGTGGACGTACAGCTGGACTGCTCCTTAGAAGTAAGAATGGCTAGACTTTGTCTCACCTACTTTGGTCATGTTTTCAGAAAGGATCATTCCTTGGAGAAGGATATTATGCTTCATAAAGTAGAGGGTCAGTGAAAAAGAAGGAGACCCTTAACAAGATGGGTTGACAGTGTCTACAATAATTGGCTCAAGCATGTCAATGATTGTGAGGCTGGCACAGGACTGGGCAGTGTTTTGTTCTGTTGTACATAGGGCCCCTATGAGTTGGAACCAACTTGATGGCCCCTAACAACAACAACATCATTAATATTACATACAAGTAAAACTTGGCTGCAGGTAATTAAAAATGGTTGCAGCAGTACACAGACAGGAAACTGCCAGAAATTCAAGCTGGATTCAGAAGAGGATGTGGAACAAGAATTATCATTGCCAGTTGGATATTGGCTGAACACAAAGAGTACCAGAAAGATGTTGAGCTGTGTTTTATTGACTATGCAAAGACATTCAACAATGTGAGTCATAGCAAATTATAGATAACATTGCAAAGAATGGGAATTCCAGAACACTTAATTTTGCTCATGTGGAACCCGTACATAGACCAAGAGGCAGTCGTTTGAACACAGCAAGGGGATACTGCCTGGATGAAAATCAGGAAAAATGTTCATCAGGTTTGTATCCTTTCAATGTATTTACTCAATCTGTATTTGAGTAAATAATCTGGGAACCTGGACTATATGAAGAATATTGTGGCATCAGGATTGGAGGAAGACTCATTAACAACTTATGATATGCAGATGAAAACTTTGCTTGCTGAAAGTGAAGAGAACTTGAAGCACTTACTGATGAATTACCAAAACTACAGCCTTCAGTATGGATTATACCTCAACATAAAGTGAACAAAAATTCTCACAACTGGACCAATAAGCAACACCATGATA